GCTGCCATGCTAGACAAAACAGCCCGCGTAAGAGAGTACACCTCACCGCCATACATACACAAACTTCTGGCTGACAACTCAAACGTCCTATTGGTGCAGTAATAGGAACCGTCGCCACATGTTTATAGACTGACATAATAATTTGCAGGTTGGTCCTGCACATTTTCATACATAAACTCGTCTTGAAATTAAACCCCACACTGCTATTGTTTGACTTCTTGTGGATGCAGCCACTGACAGTCAGCGCTCGCCTGACATTCATGACATCTGAGCCGAGGAAGCTCATAACAACACCCACTGTGATGCCTTTAGTAGTACAGACACCATTTAGCCCATTCAACTCGCTTGCAGTATTTTTTTTTTTTTCAACCATCGAGCAATAAACGTTACTACTTTTAAGAGGTGCTACTGACATCTGGGTTGCAAATTAAAGCAAACTGAAGCCAATAGTTATGCGCTTGTATGCGACCCTCCGTGCTAATTAGCAACCTAGCGACGTCTGCGACTCTCGAAAGCTAACTCACTAGCCAGCGTACGTTAAGTGAGCCAAAACAAGCCAACTCAATAGCAGCGTCGCTGCGAAAGTTGTGGCACACATTTAAGGTGTTTAACTCTGCACCGGTGTGCTGCTATTGTTTACCCCCAAAACACTTGAAGGAAGCACATTGCTGGATGTTGTCTCGCTCTCGGCAAATCGTCACTTACCGTTTGAAGTGCTCGATAATTTTTTCCTCTCGTACATTTTCTGGTAAATTCCCCACCCATAAATGTCTGGTTTCCCGGACCATACTGCGTTTCGGTGTCCCCCGACCATACAGAAGATTTTACTGAGTTAAATCCGACTGAATGTGTGTGGTGGGGCGAGTAGTTCCTCTGACTCGACACTACGGTTGGACCCGCTTGCACTTGAAAGCTGTGTTGACTACGAGAGCCTGAACCTTGCTGTCGAGGAGCGCGCTCCGGTTCATGACGAGATCGCGCATAAGCAATAAGCACTCGGAATTCCACATGGATAAAATCGGACATGACATTTTATTGTAAATCACTTTTAAATGTTAAAATGTGTATATATATTGGATAAATGCCCTGGTTAAGCGTGCAAGGTAAAAGTCAGACTTGGTTCCCTTTGCTTTAGTTTGACATTTGACAGTCTTTTTGTAGAACATGAATTTAAAATGCAAGTTCTTCATAATCATAATCATAATCTTGGGGTGTAAAATGTAAGAGACTCGTGGTTTACCGCAAAATCTTTATTCGAGAGTCAGTGGCTGGACGGTGTTGATGACAGTATTATTAGTTTCAATACTGCTGCTTTGTATACGTTTGCACATCCATTCCCCCCCCCCAAAATCCAGGTGGGAACTGTCTGTTTGATATACGACTTGCAAGTCAAAACAAAAGACATGACGAGATCCTCTGTACTCAAGTGAACTAGTGTATTTAGAGGAAATAACTTATTCAACTGGATTCTCTCTAGATGATATATAGTTCCATCTGTATTTGTGGGAGATTAGTGGTCGGACATCTCCCAGTCTTAACTACAACGGCGAGAAGGATGCCTTTAGCATGATTAGTTATTGAAAAGACAAGCATCGCGTCGAATGTAAGCTTAATAATTAATGACAGTAGTCTGTTTACAGCAAGGATCAACTGTCCAAAATGTAAATAAAGGCGATGATTAATCACTAGCTTGTGGCAATCAAATGGTGTCCTGAAGAAACACCCAAGATAATGTCCAATCATATAACATTTCTTTATTAAAACAAACATTTTACTCTTTTCCAACTATGCACGAGGCGTATGATTTGATGCACGCATGCGCCAGAATGCGGCAAAACGGGGACCGCAATGGATGAATAGCGCGTGCGCTTTACACGCCCACATAGAGTTTTGACAAAGAGCAATTACAAACCCTCTGACTGGCAGAAAATTCTGGAACTTGTACTGAGGTGGAGCTGGTTCTCAAGCTGGATCTTGAGCAAGCCACAGGTCAAGTTTGTTTTCATCCAAGCCTAGTCCAGTTTCCTTTCCAATTTCCTTTGTTCCTCCCGTTTTCTATGGCTTTTTAATGGGCCTTTAGGCACATAGGTGACATGCTGTGAAAATACAGTATATGATTACATTTTATGCACATAATCTTAGTTATATAATGGATGCCTTGGGGATCAGATGAAGAGATCAGCAAATGCAATTAATTATTAGTTCTAACCTGATATATGGCTTCCAAAAGGTCTTGAGATGGTAACAGGCACGCAGCTTCACCAATGAAGCAGATTAGAACATGGAGTACATCTGACCAGCTGCCCACTGTAATCAGTAACACGAAAAGCCCACCCAGGTGCACAACGACTGTATTGAGAATCTGTTGGCCAGGCGATTGATGTCGATCCTCTGAAATATTGATTATATACTTATGATTAGACTCAAATGATGGCCAGTGTTGGCATAAAATTTACAATATTGTTCAAAAGTTGTTTTTAAAAAAAAAGAAATTAATACTTTTATTCAGCAACAATGCATTAAACTGATCAAAGAAATTCCCCACCCATAAATGTCTGGTTTCCCGGACCATACTGCGTTTCGGTGTCCCCCGACCATACAGAAGATTTTACTGAGTTAAATCCGACTGAATGTGTGTGGTGGGGCGAGTAGTTCCTCTGACTCGACACTACGGTTGGACCCGCTTGCACTTGAAAGCTGTGTTGACTACGAGAGCCTGAACCTTGCTGTCGAGGAGCGCGCTCCGGTTCATGACGAGATCGCGCATAAGCAATAAGCACTCGGAATTCCACATGGATAAAATCGGACATGACATTTTATTGTAAATCACTTTTAAATGTTAAAATGTGTATATATATTGGATAAATGCCCTGGTTAAGCGTGCAAGGTAAAAGTCAGACTTGGTTCCCTTTGCTTTAGTTTGACATTTGACAGTCTTTTTGTAGAACATGAATTTAAAATGCAAGTTCTTCATAATCATAATCATAATCTTGGGGTGTAAAATGTAAGAGACTCGTGGTTTACCGCAAAATCTTTATTCGAGAGTCAGTGGCTGGACGGTGTTGATGACAGTATTATTAGTTTCAATACTGCTGCTTTGTATACGTTTGCACATCCATTCCCCCCCCCCAAAATCCAGGTGGGAACTGTCTGTTTGATATACGACTTGCAAGTCAAAACAAAAGACATGACGAGATCCTCTGTACTCAAGTGAACTAGTGTATTTAGAGGAAATAACTTATTCAACTGGATTCTCTCTAGATGATATATAGTTCCATCTGTATTTGTGGGAGATTAGTGGTCGGACATCTCCCAGTCTTAACTACAACGGCGAGAAGGATGCCTTTAGCATGATTAGTTATTGAAAAGACAAGCATCGCGTCGAATGTAAGCTTAATAATTAATGACAGTAGTCTGTTTACAGCAAGGATCAACTGTCCAAAATGTAAATAAAGGCGATGATTAATCACTAGCTTGTGGCAATCAAATGGTGTCCTGAAGAAACACCCAAGATAATGTCCAATCATATAACATTTCTTTATTAAAACAAACATTTTACTCTTTTCCAACTATGCACGAGGCGTATGATTTGATGCACGCATGCGCCAGAATGCGGCAAAACGGGGACCGCAATGGATGAATAGCGCGTGCGCTTTACACGCCCACATAGAGTTTTGACAAAGAGCAATTACAAACCCTCTGACTGGCAGAAAATTCTGGAACTTGTACTGAGGTGGAGCTGGTTCTCAAGCTGGATCTTGAGCAAGCCACATAATCTTCAGATTCAGTCTCGAGTCTTCATTGGAATTCACTGGACTTTCTGGATCTGCCTAAATCCGTAATATATGGAATAGAACTAATAAAATGTAATTCTTTGACAGTGCTTTTGGGATTGGATTTGGGATTGGTTGCACGTTGGAAATACAAAAGCGCACTTTAGGCCTAAACAATATTGTTGCATGTTATACAATAAATGATTCCCCTGGATACTTGGACAACAATGTTCTTTTTTTCTTCTTGCTCCTAAACACCACAAGACGGTGTGGCAAACTTCTAAGGACATGAAGACATTTACTGCTTTACTAAATTGCTAAAAAAAATAATTGTAATGTATTTATTCGACAGAGGAAACAACTGGATTATATAAAAAAGCGACAGAATGTGGAATGCGTCTGAGAGAAATGTTTTGTCCTTGTATGTTTGAGCGCTTTAAAACATCCTGGAGACCGTGGAGAATTAAACACTTGCAGATTGCATGCCAGAACGATTTACGCGTCACAAACAGACCACACACTCGATGTTCGTGAATGTTCAGTTGTTAATTTTTGGCGCCAGTTATCGAAAGAATGTTCTTTGAAATATGACGCCATTTTGAGCATAACCTAGTGCAGAAAAAAACCTAGCACAACAAAAGAAATGACAGCGCCGCGGCCATTTTGTTTCCAGTGGAGCTATTTTGGGTTCAAGTTCAGTTTAACAACTTTAGCGCTTGGTTGCTTTTAATGGGCTCAAAAATGTTACAAGACAACACGCAATTATTTAGTGAGTGTAATTGCTACTTTGAACTGTTTTTGATGTATTAGTTATCTTTATTATAATGCCTGGGTGACCCTAGCAAATACAACTATTTGTTACTGTTCCTATATCCAAGTCATAGATAATCAAAATGAATATCGTTTGTGGCAAGAAGTGAAATGTAATTTAATCACGTTAAGTTCTCTCTAATTATATTCTTGATTAAACAAAATTATGTATTTAGGTATAGAGGGAATGAATGCAATTCATCGTATACATAAAGGTATTGGATAGCTATATTTATTACGATGGAAGGCATTCATAAGATTTTTCATGCAGTACTAAAATGTTAAGGGAGTAAAGCTAAATGGACTTTAAATATTAAGGACTTAAAAAGCGCATCTCTTAAATGTATTTTGTAGAGAAAGTGTGTGTGTGTAGGCATATATATATATATATATATCAGATGAAGAGATCAGCAAATGCAATTAATTATTAGTTCTAACCTGATATATGGCTTCCAAAAGGTCTTGAGATGGTAACAGGCACGCAGCTTCACCAATGAAGCAGATTAGAACATGGAGTACATCTGACCAGCTGCCCACTGTAATCAGTAACACGAAAAGCCCACCCAGGTGCACAACGACTGTATTGAGAATCTGTTGGCCAGGCGATTGATGTCGATCCTCTGAAATATTGATTATATACTTATGATTAGACTCAAATGATGGCCAGTGTTGGCATAAAATTTACAATATTGTTCAAAAGTTGTTTTTAAAAAAAAAGAAATTAATACTTTTATTCAGCAACAATGCATTAAACTGATCAAAGGTGACAGTTAAGACATTTATAATGTTACAAAAGATTACAATTTTAAATAAATGCTGTGCTTTTGACTTCCAGTGAATAGAACTGTTAAAACCATTAAGTGTTACCATTTGATTGCCTTACCATTCATGTACACAACCAGCAGAGTGTAGCATATTGTGAGTGGGGTCCAAAATCTCAGAGCCTCAGTGGTTGATAGAAAGTTTTGGTTTATGTTTGATATGGCAGCAATTCCAGATACGCTAAAAGTTATAATTAAGGCACTGCAGAGCCAGGCTAATATAGAAGTGCCAGTGGTTAATAGTCCAATGCAAAGTCCACAATAGCGCTGTGTACTGTGTATTGGATACATTGTATTTACATGTCGCCATACTCTGCTGCACCTGCTTGCCAAGAACCAGCTCAGTCCAACTGCAAGGAGGCGGCTTAGCCAGCCTTGTGGTGCCCCCTCATGGAGGAAATTAAGGCTGCAGGTTAGTGCGCAGCCCAAGGAGAACTGGCACTGGATAATCAAGCAGTAACAATGGGTCCATTATTGAGTCCTAAACAAAAAAGAACAAGAACATTTTATCTAGAATGATAACGAGTTGTCATGCACAAATGTATTAAATGTCATAAATCAATTATGCTCGTACTGATCCTCCTGTGATCCGTGCTGAAATGGCTCTAAGAGAGAACTCTAAAACTATTAGTGATGCAACACGAGACCCCACAACAGAAAGAAGCACTGTTAGGATCCAGAACTGAATTTTCTCTATTAGTCCACCATTTAGTCTGTTCCTTCGTTTAATGTCTGTTTCAGGATCTGCAATACTTAAAAGACAGCCAAGAGAAATGTACAAAAACATCATATCAACATCAACGTCGTATCTTATTATTTAAATATTATATAATATTAAATATCTATTATATTCAGCCATACAGCATGGGTTAAACAACATAGCACATATAACTAACCTCTGTGCCTCAACAAACAAGTAAGTTTTTAAAAGGTTACGAAGAACCCAGATTCCACAAGCACCCACAAGCCCTGTGATTAACATAAAACACAAGACATATATATATATATATATATATATATATAATTTCACAATGCAGAAAAGGCAAAATTATACCAACAGATCGTATTTTAAATATTATTAGATATTTATGTGTGAATAAGTCAATACATATATTGTTATCAAAATTATATCAGTGAATGAACTCCTTTATTATTGAAATTTGTGACAGAACTCTCATTTAATGACTCACCTTGTAAAACACTATGTAAAGGAATAGCACTTGGTGTTAGCCAAGTAGGAACACTTGGCACAAGCCGGGAAATGAAGGACAACATGCCTATGTACGTGAGAAATTGTTTAATGCGCCAGTGAACTGTTTACAGATACTAGTCAAATTGGCCACACACACAAAAAACAAAATGAAATCTTAAATCAAAAGCATCAGTATTACTGACCTTGTTTTGTTATTTTCAGTTGCGTTGTTTGCGATCCTCACTCATGTATAACCTTTATCAAGTGCAGATATGAGAGTTGGAGGTTTGGTAGCACAGTCTCAAAGGTCACTTAATCCTTGATCAGTTTTTACAACTGTATGATTTGTTTCTCTACAGCCACAAAGTTTTAATATATTAATGTATTTCCATAATTATTTCTGAGGCCTGTTCCTGATTCAAAATGGTAAAAATATGAAATAAAGAAACATTACATTTCTGCCCTCTGCTGGGGATTATTTTCATTTCCGTTAATATATTATGTATACTTTCCAGAGATTTTATGATGGGACTTGAACTTTACACTGGATTCAAGAGCTTTGAACAGTCAACAGTTACCACTCATCCAGAGTAGTACATTTATATTACAGTTTGTTGCCCAACAATGTACTTTATGAGGCAAAATAGAAACATATGGGATTAAATAGTTTATAATTTATTTAGGAAATTGTAATTTTGTTTTCTGGACTAGAAAACAGACACACTCCATTTCAGTCTTTCATATTGTGAACCGTATTGGAATAGGACAATCAGCCATTATTTTGAGATAATGTTCCTCAAATGCAGCATCCTCTTCTGCACTGAAGTGATTCTTCCAGTCACCAACCTCACCTATAAAGTAAAATAAATATAAATTCTGCAAAAGAAAATTTAAATGATTCATAACATGTTTCTCAATCCTAGTTTTAAAAAAAAAATAAATAAATAAAAAAATCAGCTTTTCTCATGAACTCTGAGACTGTACGATCAAAGATTGTATCTGGGATAGTTGAGTAGTTTGCCATGGGGTTTTCTCGCATAGCAGAAAATGTTGTAATTTGCACAATATGCTTCATTGTACTTTTTGATAACTGCCGGAATTGAGCAATGTGGGTAACTTCGCGAACAGGGTCCTGAAATTATAAATAAATACAAGTTATACAAATAAGTCAAGTACTCATAATTAGTCTTTGTTAAAGGAATTATACCTTAGTTAAAATTTACTCAACCTCAGGCCATCCAAGATGTGGATAAATACAAATTTAGCATAACATCACTTGTTTACCAATGGATCCTCTGCAGTGAATCAGAAGGAGCGTCTAAACAGCTGATAAAAGCAACACAATAATCCACAAGAAATCCACATGACTCCAGTCCATTAACATCTTGTGAAGTGAAAAGCTGCATGTTTTTAAGAAACAAATCCATCAAGTCATTTTAACTTTAAAAAGTTGCTTCTGGCCAAAATATGCGTCCATAATAACGCTTCCTCCAATGAAAAAGTCCATCCCCTGTTGTCCTCTCACATCAAAATCCACTGAAATATTTGTTAGTTTTGGACTGTTTTCGGGCTGTTTTCATTTGTAAACAATGTTTGATCTGATTGACCTCTTTCATGTCTTCATAGAATATTTAAAGGATTTTCTTGTTATGCCTTTCCCTCCAGTATCCTTTAACGTGGTCATACCAGGATCCCCAACCCACTGAAAAAATGATTCAGTCATTAGGAGTTCATTCAAGATCATAATTAAGCGCATTCACATTTTACACAAAACAAGGCAATTGCTGTGGTCAACAGTATCTTTCAACTGCAGCATGCATGACTCACATTGCCCTGACATGAACTTCTCCAGATATTGTGGCCAAGGGCCAGGCTCTAACTGGTGAAGATTCATTCGGTCAAAATGATAATATGAAACCACAGTGTCTTTCGGAGTACGGGCCATATATATAACCTATGGGAAAATGAATTGGCATTCACATAATATCGTATTTTTCAATACAGCCCATGAAATCTAACCTTCTAACCTTGCAACCAGCATCCCAGAAAGAATGAGGCACAAGCTGGATGGGAAGATGAGTTTTGATAACACGAGGGGGATCCATAACCTCCAGCTTAGTTATACCTATAACATTGGAGTGTAATATTTAAATATGCAAATAAGATACACCTATATATAGGCTCTGGCTCTCTCTCTCTCTCTCTCTCTCTCTCTCTCTCTCTCTCTCTCTCTCTCTCTCTCTCTATATATATATATATATATTAGGGCTGGTAAGCGATTAAAATGTTTAATCTAATTAATTACATGATGTGGCGATTAATCAATCTAATTAATCGCAAATTAATCGCACATCACATTTGGCTGAGAAATTACTCCCAAAAGATAATTTAAAGTCATTGTTGTGTAAAGCATCAAACAGACATTACAACAAGTAGCTTCAGCTTATTTGATAAAATTTATTACATTTACTCTTTTGGACCATGAGGGTGAGTAAATGATGACGCAATTGTCATTTTTGGGTGGGTGAACTATACCTTTAATAATTAATTTTATTAATTTTATTATTATTACTATGGAAATATGAAATATTTCTTTAATGAAATGATACTCTAAATAATAAACTAAAACTGCCAGTAGGTGCCATTTATTAATCACTTTTTCACTGTAATTAATCTAATTAACACGTTAAATTACCAGCCCTAATAATATATATATATATATATATATATATATATATGTGTGTGTGTGTGTGTTGCTAAACAGTTTTTGGTTCTATTAAACATACCAGAACTTGAACCATCAAGAGAGGTCATCTCTAAAAATGGCATGCGCACCTGAGTGGGCACACGCTTGCACTTTCGTGCAATTTCGAATGAAGTTCTCCTTCATTCAGGATGCTATCCACTACTTCTTGTGTCCATGTAGTTCCTTTTACGAGATGATTTTTTATTTAAATTGCATTGTGTTGTTTTCATCATGTTGTTTTCAGTCTTTTGCACTTTACATGGCATACATGGCAATGAGCAAATCCTCCTTTGACGCCTTGAACTTCTCCACACTTGTCCAGTAGGCTACTTCACCACCCGCTCTAGCTCTAATTGACCATATGCACGAAGCACTATTTAGAGCTTCCGGATAAAGATAAGCCAGCTCGTAATCTTCTGGTGAAGCTCATTTTATATGTGCTATATATATAATTTTTTTTTTTTTTTTTAATGTGCATACCTTGAGAAACCTGGACTGTAGCAGCCCGTGCACGTGATGTGCATTTTGTTGTTAAACTAGTGCTTTATTATTATTATTATTATTTACTGTGTAAACACTGTTTTATGATTCTTAGCATTTTTGTAACTCTATCCTCCCAGCAGCAGATGGCGCTACTGTGTAACACTAAGCGGCTCATTGACGCTGTAGAGGGAAAATGTGCGTTAGCGTGTGGGCTGAGGGAAGCCCCTAGTTAGCCAAGAGTGGAAACATGGATGATGAGGAGGTCGCCGAGAGCTGGGAAGAGGCCGCCGATAGTGGGGTAAATATAGGAAAAGCTTTCCTTCTCTCTTCCACAAACTGTCTTTTCAATGTGCACAGCCTCGCGTGGAGCATTAGGCTGATTCATACCACCGGCCTCATGCTAGCGCGCTAGTCACACCTGTATATTTAGAGTTGGGCGGTAGGCCGCAGTTAAAGGGAAACTGGTCCCAAATCAGATGTTGTGGTATAATTCTTATTTTAAACCAGTAGGTAAAATATTTTGAAAATGGCAGTTGGTGAAGCGACACGTTCGTGCGTCACGTAAAACAATTTGTGTTCAAAGCAAATGGCGTAATGAAATGAAACCGCCTGCTAACTAATGCTAGTTAGCCGGGGCAACTTCTGATGAATAAAAAGGGGAAAATCTTTCTTTGCCACCGTATAAGAAACCAGAGATGGCTGCCGAATGGGCCGAGACCTGTTGGATGTCGTAGAGAAGGGACTGTGTATTTTTGATACGTGTAGAATTGTATGAGTTGATTTTATGCGGAAATACGGTTTCAAAGCAGTGGAATATCGAAGTGGGATAGTCTCCATTCAGACAGTCAACAGGCGGTTTTCACAAGTTTTAAGTTTGTCCTGGGGTCTGTTGTCAATGATACTGTGGAACAATGTATTTGCAAATCAACATCGCTTTATTTAGTTAAGTATCTGTAGTGATTTAGATTAAAAATGGAAGGTTTATCTCAATAAGCTCCGTTCTTGTTATAACTTTCGGATGGTACAGATGTGTGGATCTCATGAGCGTTAATATTGTTTTGTAGATCTATTTAAAATAATCGCTTTTTAACAATTAAAAAAAAGAAAAAAAATCTGTCGTCTACTCTCATTTCTGGCCTTATTTCGTCTGTAGAGCGAAATAGATGATGTGAGGCAGAATCCAGTCTCAGTCTCCATTTACTTTCATTGCGATTTGTTTTCAATACAATAAAAAGTTATTCGTGACTGGGATTGTCATTCTGCCTAACTTCTCCGGTTATGTTCCACAGAAGAAAGTAATGCATACAGTTTCACAACGAAATTTGGAAGAATAAATTACAGAATTTCTTATTTTGGTCTGAGCTGTTACTTTAAATATGCCCTTGACAGAAAAAGTTCATTGGTATTTAATATCGCGTTTCTTTACTCATTTAGTAGCATATATATAGCGAGAGAGAGCGAGCACGCAAAATGTGACCATGTATCATGGTTGCTTTCAAATATTGAGCTCTTTTAAAACGTGAGACTTTTTAAAGAGTTTATGTCAGTATTTGTCTGCCAGTGACGTCAACACCCCAGCCATTAGGCTCTGTAAACACATCTTTCCCTCCATTTGAATGTTTCCCTCAAGTCTCTGTTTAGAAAAGCCTCATATTGTCTACCTACTCAAGCAGCACTCTGTAATTCGGCCATGTCATTAATTTAGCCACTGCACTAAGGATATATAAATAACTTTGTGAAATTGAAAACTTGCTGCTGCTTCAGAGGCTCCTCCTTGAAGCGGCCCGCCTGTACTGTTTTATAAGATAACTTCATGAGATATTCTTCCAGTAGAAGTGTTCATTTTTTTTGTGTTTGACTTAGGAAATGGAAAGAAGACTAGAGGAAAAGCTTCGAATCAGTCAGAAAGAAAGGTGTGTCTGGTCATCCTTTAGTTTTTGAGTCTATATTTTGCTCAGTGTTGCTTGTTTTACTCTTAAAAAAATATTTTTTTATTTTTTGGATGCTCTTCCAGACTTTCAAGTGGCAGTTCGAGCCATTCTCCGATGAGAACAGCCATCGTAATCCAGGATGACTCCCTCCCCGCAGCACCCCCACCTCAGATTCGTATTTTAAAGCGACCCTCCAGTAACGGATCTTTAGGATCATCTGTGACGCAGACTCGACCCTCCCCACAAGTAAAATCCTTAGCTCAGCGAGAGGCAGAATATGCAGAGGCCAGGAAGAGAATCCTTGGCAGTGCTACTCCTGATGACACGCCACAGGAGAGACCCAATTCAGACCGGTAAAATACTGACACGCTCAGAAGAGGAGACGGCCACAATACCAAGTATAAGAATATTAAAATTCAACAGGAAAAAGAATAACTGTTGCTTTTGTATTAAAGATGACCAAATAAATGTAACAGCTGTGGTGGTGGGTACGGCATATATCTTGAACTACCCTTCCATCAAAAATTCTCATAAAGAGCGTGAGAGCGAGGCACACTTTCCTTACCGCTCTGCATACAGCGGCCTTACTAATGTGCTCTGCATCCCTGGTGTTATATAGAAAACTACCATTTAAAAATGGTACCACTCAAATAAATATGCATGTGGATGTGGCAAAAAATTATGGTGAGAATTAAGTTATATTTTAGCAGTTTAAACAACAGAGAGTGATAGTAAGATTCCTACATACAAACAAAGGTACACGGAGCTACAATCGCAAACCTCTCAGCAGCACGGCAGACAGGAACCGAGCCCATATGATGTGTATTATGTTTAGTGTCAGGAAGTAATTTAGTTACTTGTTTCCTCATATGGTGAGTCATATTAAGCAGATTGAAAATAGAAAATGAATAAACCATTTGAAAAATGAATAAACCATTGCTGTAGTTTAGTTTTTTTTTTTTTTTTAATGTGCATACCTTGAGAAACCTGGACTGTAGCAGCCCGTGCACGTGATGTGCATTTTGTTGTTAAACTAGTGCTTTATTATTATTATTATTATTTACTGTGTAAACACTGTTTTATGATTCTTAGCATTTTTGTAACTCTATCCTCCCAGCAGCAGATGGCGCTACTGTGTAACACTAAGCGGCTCATTGACGCTGTAGAGGGAAAATGTGCGTTAGCGTGTGGGCTGAGGGAAGCCCCTAGTTAGCCAAGAGTGGAAACATGGATGATGAGGAGGTCGCCGAGAGCTGGGAAGAGGCCGCCGATAGTGGGGTAAATATAGGAAAAGCTTTCCTTCTCTCTTCCACAAACTGTCTTTTCAATGTGCACAGCCTCGCGTGGAGCATTAGGCTGATTCATACCACCGGCCTCATGCTAGCGCGCTAGTCACACCTGTATATTTAGAGTTGGGCGGTAGGCCGCAGTTAAAGGGAAACTGGTCCCAAATCAGATGTTGTGGTATAATTCTTATTTTAAACCAGTAGGTAAAATATTTTGAAAATGGCAGTTGGTGAAGCGACACGTTCGTGCGTCACGTAAAACAATTTGTGTTCAAAGCAAATGGCGTAATGAAATGAAACCGCCTGCTAACTAATGCTAGTTAGCCGGGGCAACTTCTGATGAATAAAAAGGGGAAAATCTTTCTTTGCCACCGTATAAGAAACCAGAGATGGCTGCCGAATGGGCCGAGACCTGTTGGATGTCGTAGAGAAGGGACTGTGTATTTTTGATACGTGTAGAATTGTATGAGTTGATTTTATGCGGAAATACGGTTTCAAAGCAGTGGAATATCGAAGTGGGATAGTCTCCATTCAGACAGTCAACAGGCGGTTTTCACAAGTTTTAAGTTTGTCCTGGGGTCTGTTGTCAATGATACTGTGGAACAATGTATTTGCAAATCAACATCGCTTTATTTAGTTAAGTATCTGTAGTGATTTAGATTAAAAATGGAAGGTTTATCTCAATAAGCTCCGTTCTTGTTATAACTTTCGGATGGTACAGATGTGTGGATCTCATGAGCGTTAATATTGTTTTGTAGATCTATTTAAAATAATCGCTTTTTAACAATTAAAAAAAAGAAAAAAAATCTGTCGTCTACTCTCATTTCTGGCCTTATTTCGTCTGTAGAGCGAAATAGATGATGTGAGGCAGAATCCAGTCTCAGTCTCCATTTACTTTCATTGCGATTTGTTTTCAATACAATAAAAAGTTATTCGTGACTGGGATTGTCATTCTGCCTAACTTCTCCGGTTATGTTCCACAGAAGAAAGTAATGCATACAGTTTCACAACGAAATTTGGAAGAATAAATTACAGAATTTCTTATTTTGGTCTGAGCTGTTACTTTAAATATGCCCTTGACAGAAAAAGTTCATTGGTATTTAATATCGCGTTTCTTTACTCATTTAGTAGCATATATATAGCGAGAGAGAGCGAGCACGCAAAATGTGACCATGTATCATGGTTGCTTTCAAATATTGAGCTCTTTTAAAACGTGAGACTTTTTAAAGAGTTTATGTCAGTATTTGTCTGCCAGTGACGTCAACACCCCAGCCATTAGGCTCTGTAAACACATCTTTCCCTCCATTTGAATGTTTCCCTCAAGTCTCTGTTTAGAAAAGCCTCATATTGTCTACCTACTCAAGCAGCACTCTGTAATTCGGCCATGTCATTAATTTAGCCACTGCACTAAGGATATATAAATAACTTTGTGAAATTGAAAACTTGCTGCTGCTTCAGAGGCTCCTCCTTGAAGCGGCCCGCCTGTACTGTTTTATAAGATAACTTCATGAGATATTCTTCCAGTAGAAGTGTTCATTTTTTTTGTGTTTGACTTAGGAAATGGAAAGAAGACTAGAGGAAAAGCTTCGAATCAGTCAGAAAGAAAGGTGTGTCTGGTCATCCTTTAGTTTTTGAGTCTATATTTTGCTCAGTGTTGCTTGTTTTACTCTTAAAAAAATATTTTTTTATTTTTTGGATGCTCTTCCAGACTTTCAAGTGGCAGTTCGAGCCATTCTCCGATGAGAACAGCCATCGTAATCCAGGATGACTCCCTCCCCGCAGCACCCCCACCTCAGATTCGTATTTTAAAGCGACCCTCCAGTAACGGATCTTTAGGATCATCTGTGACGCAGACTCGACCCTCCCCACAAGTAAAATCCTTAGCTCAGCGAGAGGCAGAATATGCAGAGGCCAGGAAGAGAATCCTTGGCAGTGCTACTCCTGATGACACGCCACAGGAGAGACCCAATTCAGACCGGTAAAATACTGACACGCTCATTAGAGCGAAACTGTCATGGTTCTGGAAGTTAAATTGATTTATATTTTAATTTATTTTTTTGATAAGCTTCTGTAGAAGACCATAAGTGAGCATCATAATAGCGGAGTCAAGAACTTTGATTTATGTTGTGGATTATGGGAAGATCCTCGATGTAGTGTGCTTATTTAGCATACTAATATTAAATTGATCAAAGGTGACAGTAAAGATTTTTACAATGTAACAAAAGATTTCTATTTCAAATAAATACTATTTTTTTTTAACTTTCTATTCATCAAAGATTCCTGAAAAAATTAAGGTTTTCACAAAAATATTAAGCAGCACAACTGTTTTTCAACCCTGATAATAAGAAATGTTTCTTGAGCAGCATATCAGCATATTAGAATGATTTCTGAAGGATCATGTGACACTGAAGACTGGAGTAATGATGCTGAAAATTCAGCTTTGCCATCAGAGTAATAAATTACAATTTAAAATGTTAAAATAGAAAAGTGATTTCAAATTGTAATATTTAATAATAATATTTAATTACAATATTACTGTCTTTACAGTATTTGATCAATTTGATCATTTCTTTTAAAAACATAAAATCTTACTGACCACAAACTTTTGAATGGTAGTGTATATATATATATATATTTTTTTTTTTTTTTCCTTGCAGCAAGAAGCAAAATATATTTATTTTCATACTTGCCATAAGCCTTTTCTAAATCAGTTACAAATTTCACAGCATTTCAAGGCATATAGTTAATTCAAAGAATTGTACACAATTTTCACATACTTTTAATTAGAGTTATTAAAGTTGTAATTTGTTGCAGAGCTGATTTTTGTTCATGGCTTAAGGCTGGTTTACATAGGATCAGGGTTGCAAAAAGGTGGAAAATGTCCAGTAAATTTCAGAAACATTCCAGAAATTTTGGAAACTTTCCAGGATTTTTTGGAATCTTCCAGGGATTTTTGGAAATTTTCCACTCATTTGCACCCCTACATAGGATGCATTTTTGCATTCTACTGTGCTACTTTTCCAGTTAAAATAAGTTCAGCCTTTAAAGAACTCATCTCTTGACCTTGCATTTTTTTCCCCAGTCCACTGCCCACATCTCACATTTTTCAAAGCAAAAACATGTTCTGTGTGAATGGCCCATTTTCCACAAGTTGGTATGATTCATTAGGGTCTTAATGAAATGTCAGCAAAATACTTTGGTTAAAATTCCAAAGAAAAGCGACCCATTTCGGTGCATGTCTCTTTAAATGATGAGCTACTGCTCACTTCACCCCTCTCTTCTGTTTTTGTGTAACAAAACTAATCCACTGTGTCCTCAGTGGCTCTCATGTTAGGAGAAAATGAAGACTTTAAGTTCACTTTTACATCCAACTACAAAAAACCTGCATTGCTTATAGTCATCGCTACAGTTGCTCGAGCACGGAGAAAATGGCGGACAATGTATAACTGGCTGAGAGCGGAAATTTGCTAATACGGGGTCCGTCAGCGATTGTGGGCGGGGCATGAAAATCAAAACGACTTGATAATTGAGACTGTTTAGGTCTTTTGGGGATGAAAAAAAAGCAGTGAATGCTTTTTATGATTGTAGGATGGTTGTGTCCACTGCTAAGACACGTTTATATGCAAACACCATGTAAAAGTTCATTTTGCATCCGATGTCCCCTTTAAGAAAACTTTGAAATCTCTGTGGAGACTTCCAGAACCAAGGCTCAAGCCATTTAGTTATTTACAAATGGCTGCTTTTAAAATATGGTAAAATGCTCAGTATATTTTTGATTGTGTATTTTACATATTGTCTATTCTCAATCAGATCCCCACGTGGAAGCAGCCATACACTTTCAGAGGAAAACAGATCAGGAAACCATGTGGTTCGACAGCCAGCAGGTCCAGATGGTACACAAGGCTTTCAACACCAGCGCAGATAGGAATAGCAGCCTTTCCTGGGAGAAAAGGAGAGGCGATAGTGGGTCTCCCAGAATACTGTTGAAATTCAAAAAAATGTTATCCATATTTAGGATGTGGGCTGTTTTTCAAATAAGTATGAAACCCTCTCGAATCTAGCACAGCATGTGTGGAATGTAATTGGGGAAAGAAACACGATCCAGAGGAGTGAATGGGGAACGTTCCCCGCTTTTACACTGTGATGAGGACCTCGCTTCCGGACACTGCTCACTGTGATGTCCAGCCCCCAGCCCTCAAAATCAAAACGAAAATAGAGAGAAATGAAACCGAACTGCAGAACTATTGTCCCTTCCTCACGTAACTCAGCCGTCACTGGCATCCAGCCTGTCAAGTCAAGCCCTCTGAAGAGACATTTGAAACAGAAGAAAACAAGTGCTGGATGTTCTAGAACCCATAAAAGGATGGTATGAGGCACCAGCTTCCTTCAGCAATAATTCTAGAAATATCACTAATTATTCAGACCTCTCTTCCACACTCTTCTCTCAAGCTTTTGTATTGCTTGTGTTTGTCTTTTATTTTAATTTTGGTTATTACTAGCTCGGTCTGCTAATTGCCATATGTTTTTAAATGGGTAAGAAACAGTGAGGGTATGTTGTGGAAACTCAAGCTGACTTTTAAGGTCTTTGTTTACAGTTATCTCTTTTTTGTTGTTTTACTCATGGGTCTTCCTCTGACTGTCCTGATTTATACATAAAGAAGAATAAAACAAGAACTAGTAGAGTATTAAACGAGAGCAGCAAATCACATTTTTAAACCGTTTCTATGCCTTTTATATGATTTAAAATGGTCATTTTTAGACCTCTGCATTTAAAGTGAAATCCAGTGGAAAGATGACTTGTGTAAATATTCCTTGTGCTGGAAAGAACTGAAGGGAGTAAAGGGGGGCGGGGAGGAATGATTTCGCTGGCTCCTCTCACCTCACTTTCTCATCAAATCTGCTGTTGGCCATTTTCTTTTCTTTCTTTTTTTTTTTACTTATGTAGGAACTCAGGTTGTTGTGAGGAAATATGAGTGGATGAATGAAGTTGTGTATCAGTGGATAGGTTTTTAACTGAATGATGGTGCAATGTTAAGTTTACATGAAGTATGGCTTCAAGATCATTTGAAAAACATTGACTGGATTACAGAATGTCCTATAAGAGATTATTTAACGTTTATTAAAACCTAAGAGAGAAGTGTGTCGCACCGGTGGCTTAACAATGCAACTTTAATGGAGTGTTAAGTTGGCCTAGTTGCTTTGGTTCTCGCAATACAGTGTCTATACATTAAGAGCCATACTACTTTTTTTGACTGTAACTCCCTGCCCTTTTTTTCTTCTTTTTTTAAATTTTCTTCCTAAAACTTACTCTCTTGTGCTATCCATGAGTGATATCTCTGCCTCATGCAGTTTATGGAAATACCCTTTAATCTGACATGTCATTGTTCACCCATTGTGCTGTAACAAATCAGACCAGACGGGTTTGTCATGGCCTGCCTGAGAACACAGAAATCGGTCTGTAAATACTTTTCAAAATGCCCATTTAATAAAGACTTTTTAAATAATGTCTCCGGAGACCATTTTTGAAAATATTTAATTGTTTCAATTCTTTCAATGATTTTAAATGGGGAATTCTTACTTTTACCTCCAATGGCATCCAACTGTTTGCAGACACATGATGCAAACTAGTCCTTCCAGTAGCAACTATATATCCAAAATGGTTAAAAGTCAGCATTAAAGGGGTCATAGGATGCCCTTTTTCCACAAGTTGATATGATTCTTTAGGGTCTTAATGAAAAGTCTATAACATAGTTTGGTTAAAATTTCTCAATGGTAGTGTAAAAAACACCTTTTTACCCTGTCAAAAACAGCTCTTTTCAGAGCACGCAGTTTTGTAGCATTTTCCTTTAAATGTTAATGAGCTCTGCTGACCCCGCCCCTCTCTTCCGAGCTGCTCTCTGAGGGACTGTTTACTTTAGTCGCATTCATCATGAAACTTGCTAATTAGCACATTATTATGGAAGGCGATTTGTAAAGATTCATTAAAAAAACCTTACACTCACTTCTTCTGTAGGTGAAGCTGGATCACGAATGATTTGCACGAACATAGACGCATTTATGTAGATCGGGGGCCCATTCTCTTCAAAAACAAAGTAATACACTGCGTCTTCAGCGGCTCAGATGGCTCAGATGTCGGGAGTAAATGACGACTGCTATGTTCATTATTACATCCAACAACAGAACACCTCAATCGCTTAGGAGTCATTCTTGTCTACATCTGCTCCAGCGGTGAACTAATGGCGGACTGATGACAGCTCACTCAGGGTGGGTCTAAGGTAAGACGCCAGTCCACTCTGTGCTGAAACGCTACTGTCAATCAAACTATCGTGGGAGGGGCCTGTTTTTGTGACGTCACACAGACAGGCCTCTGAGATCGGCTTAATTTAAGAAAGGGGTAAAGATATGAGCAGATTAAAAAAAAAAAACACTGGGTGGATTGTTATCATTATAGGGTGGTTGTGTACACACACTGCCAACACACATTTCAGTTCAAACAACTTGTAAAAGTACATGTAGAATCATATGACCCATTTAAATAAAAAATTCTACCTTATTTTCTAAATGCATGTTATTGATCTTTTTGTGAACAATTTATCCATGTGTTTTATTGAAAATTTTGACAACATTTAGTCTGCATAAACCCTGCCCCATTTCTTACGATCAACGGCAAGCTCACGTTAAGATCCACCGATATTCAATTAACAACCGATGGATTAAACCAAGTTCCTGAATCAGGGTATCTTCCGTCCAGTCATTTTTTAATTTAATATTGAAACCTAAAAAATGAAAAACATATTTCATTTTTTAATTGTTCAAACAAAACGAAAAATCAAGAATCTGGCTTCATTTTTCGTTTTTACGTTCAGGGATAGAAAACGAATAAACAACTTGAATATTTGATCTCTACTTGTGGGCGAGAATAAAACGCCCCTCGCCGCTGATTGGTCAACCAAACATTACAACATAATAATAGTCCTAAAAAAAACATAATAATAGTCCTCCCTTTCTATGGATTCTTAACATGTTTATTTCTACTACATTTTATCTCTTCATCAAACAGCCAGATTAATGAATGGCTTGACAAACCGTACAGAGGCAGAGCCTTTTGGTCCTTTGGCACACAGCCCGTTTTATTATAGTTATCCACATATCAAAATATGTGTGGCAAAGCTGCGCGGCACACTGCAGCGTGGGGAGAATGTATTGTAGTGAAGCGCAGACCTCTATCAATTTATGTGAACATACAGTCATAACTTTTGTTTTAGACAATATGCTGCGTTTTGGACAATGGAGGAACTTAAATAATATGACAGATATGAAAAGAAATGGCTTTGTATAATTTACCTTCACAGCACATCTATTATTTTTCTATTTTGAGTTTTATTCATAGGGCACTTTATACAAATTTAGGAAATCATATGTTGTTATCCCACTGGCATGGAACTATTTGTTCCTCAGAGTGCTTGTTTCAGTGATTGACTTTAGTGAAATGTGAATTTGACGTCATGATTTGAAGGTGAACTCGTTTGAGTTATAAGAACATATCCAAACCCTGAAATAACACTTCGAACAATAAGCCAGTGTCAGCAGTGTCAGAAATTAACTTTCCTATACGGGGCAACTGATTTTCAGTTTTTTATTTATTTACCTTTTACCTTTTTGTATGTCATCTTTAATGTTAAATTCTTACATCAAATACATTAGAATAATATGAGGCTATTACCAATTAAATCAGTATATAGAACCTGCGTCTGAAGATGCTTTTAGATGTATTTACGGTTTAATGCTGATCAGACGGCTGTATGTGCAATTATATAGCAATTACAAATGTATAATGAAATGAGATTAATGTCTTATACAACATTTTTAATACAGAAATATGAATAAAATAAAATGATACTTGAATTATGAAAGTAATATCGCCACTAGGTGGCGGTAAGTCATTGTGTTAATAAAGGAGCCCTTTATTCAATCAATTCGTTCAAAATGCTTCGTTCATTCATTTAGGAATAAAATCAAGCGGCAGTCTATAATAACTGGTCATTGAATAATAATGGGTTTTTCAAAGACTCTGATTAATTCAGGAATGATACACCACTCTATGCGCCTGCTGCGAGACAGTCACACAACGGTTCTGTGACTTTGGTTTAGTTGGCAGAGAAAATAACAATTTTGTATGCCATCAGTTAGCTAGCCAATACTAAATATTAATTATATAAACTCAGTTTATTGTCTAAAACTACCTTTGTTCACATAAATTAATAGTGGTCTGCGCTTGTCTAAAATACATTATCCCCACGCTGCAGTGCATCGTGCAGCTTTGCCACACAGATTTTAATAGGTGGTTAGCTATAATAAATCAGGCAGTGTGACAAAGATGTAGGCTAGTAGGTAGTTGTGAGTGCAGGTGCGAAGTAAATTAATATTTATGACAAACTAATATTTCACGGGTAGGTTGCAGAATTTATGCCTACACAAAAGAAAGCTCTGTCTAGGCTCTGCTTCGGTACGGTTCGTGTCAAGCCATTCGTTAATCTGGCTGTTTGATGAAGAGAAAGAGAAACAAATGTAGTAGAAATAAACATGTTAAGAATCCATAGATGACACTTATTATGTTTTTTAAGGACTATTATTATGTTGTAATGTTTGGTTGACCAATCAGTAGAGAGAGGTGTGTCATTCCCGCCCACAAGTAGAGATCGAAAATTCAAGTTGCTTATTCGTTTTCTATCCCTGAACGTAATAACAATAAATGAAGCCGAATTCTTGATTTTTCGTTTTGTTTGAACAAATGAAAAACGAAAAATGTTTGATGAAAAATGATTTTTCAGATTTCAATATTAAATTAAAAACCGATTTGACGGAAGATACCCTGATTTCCCTGCTCTAATTTTTTTCTTTTTCAATAATCTATTTTACTTGGATATATGTTACAATATGGAAGAAAACATCTGTTGCTACTTTCTTTTCATTGTGCCTTTAATTAAGGGAATTAAGGGTCACAGAGAATAAAGTAGGTAGCATGTATGCATTATCTTGTCAATAAAATAACTTGGGGAACTTGGGGAAAAAGTTTAGAAATACTCAGTATTTTGTATTTATGCTAGTAACTGAATCAAGCACTTCTCAAGGCAATATACCCTCTATTTTTTATTTTTGTTGAATATAACATTTTTTGGTAAATATATTACATATTCTGGGGAAATATGTTTCCACCCTTTTTCTTAATCAACCAGAACACCCTTTCAAAATACTTAAAGTTTTTTATTCTTCAGTTATGTTTTGTATTAGAAACACTATTACTAACAGTCCATACTTGTTGCTGTATGATATGTTTTGTGCCATATATAATAGGCAGACAAGGACGACACCTGGTACGCATACCTCACTAGTGCACTGAGAGGTGGTATCAGATCTTTGGCAACCCTGGATATGTCCTTGGGGAGAGTTGAAATTCTAAAGCAGGAGGTAGGTGTTAGCTAACACCGATGACGGAGCACTGTGTTGGGAACAAGGGCTGGTTCAGGGGCGGCCATGAGGGTGTTCCTGCAAGATGGGCATCCAGACGTTTGTACTGCTTTTTGGACTCGCGTTTTCCTCTGAGGTTGTGAAGGCAGTTCAGGGCACCTCGGTCAATAAGAATCTGAGAAGAAAAATTATTTTGCAATTACTGATATTGGCAGCATGTTTCAGATGCCATGTGGTAATACGTATATTTATCTTTACCTCAAGCAAGTAGCATATGAAGAAGTTGAGTGCAGCTACAGCCACCAGCAGTAGTTTATAGTTCATATCATTGATGTCACAGAGCTGCAGCAGTTGATGGATGATGGTGTGACGGAAAAGAACCAGCCAGCTCATAAGTGCAAAGAAAACCAGCAGTGCGCCTACAAACAAAACTAAGAGAAACAAAAAACATTAAAAAAGCTAAACATAAATATTAGACACAGCCACAGTGAGTATTTACTTTAATAATCACTATAATGATAAAAAATGGCTATCAGGACTGAGAGATTGAAAATTATTACTTATTCTATACCTCTTTATATAATATTATTATAAAGTGATCAACGTGAAATATAAATATAACAAGGGGAAACACATTTACATCTAAATGGTAATTAGTCAACATAAAATGGAACTCAAACCTCAAAGTGACGCTATAAATCGCTCAAATCATCTGGATTCAGTCAGATTTACTGAATAGAAACTTTTTAAAACAAACTGTTATTTGTTTACTCCATTATGTTATGTTGCTTCATAGGTTTACGGTGAATTTTCAATGCATTGTCTGTAAAACAAGCTCATGTTTGCGGCATTGAACAGGTCTAATTGTGCACAACAAGGTCAAAGTTTAAATTCTCACAATTGTAATACAGTGGTTTTTTGTAAGGATATCCTTTGGTTATCACAATAGACATGATGATATATTGGAATCCCGATAAGGCAAATATGCTTGTGTCCTCCATGTTTGGCAAGTTTGCAGCCCCCGTCACAGTCGAATTTAGAGGCACATACCTGAAAACAGTCACAGAGTTATAAAACAACAGTTGAAGCTGCAAAGATTTTTAATGTCACCTAAAATGTAAGTGTTGTAGTGTTAATTTCGTTAATGAAAACTATGACGAAAATTGTTCGTCAACAAGCTTTTTTCCCCTGACTAAAACGAGGCGATGATGACTGTATCAACATGGAACATTGTTGACGATAAAAGACGACACAAAAATCTCTTTTTATTTTCATAGAAAAAAAGCAGACAAAATATTATTGTGGACTGCTGTACGTGCCTCTACTACGTGAGCTTTCAGGTGTGTGGTTATAATATTTTTTGTTTGTTTTTACCGGTTTTCATAATGTAGAAAGAGAGAGTGCATATCTAAGTCTTTGATATTCATTTATATATTAAATAGCCTATAAATATCTAAGTCTTTGATGTTGATTTATATATTAAATAGCCTATAATAAATCAGTACACTAGATGAGGTAAAATAAACCATGTATACGAGTTCACATTCTGTTGGTTTGTGCTTACTGGTGAAAGTGCAATACCTGAAATGTAAAAATGTATTTCTCAAATGACAAAAATCATTGCGATTATAATTTTGAGCAAAATATTTTTTTTATCAGTTTAACCATTATACAGCATGACGAAGACAGCATGACAGTGAAGTTTTCACTGACTAAAACTAGACTAAAATGCTCAGATATTTATTCGACTAAAACAGGACAAGATTGACTTAATATGATAATAACTAAAAAGTACATTTGACACAGGACTAAGACTAATTTAAAAGACTAAGACTAAATGAAAAATGGCTGACAGAATTAACACTAGTTAGCTGCTTACCAGTCTTGTGACACAGTGATAAGCAGGGCAGACACCTGGGCTAGGATCAGCAGCACAGTGTGCACCAGTAAACTAGACAGGATTGGCAGAGACAGAAGACTGGCAGCGGGTCGCTGGGGATGGAGCTCATCGCTGGGACCTCCCCGTCCCATCACTATAGCCAAAACGGTCACCAAAACTAAATCAAAAAAGAGGAACTGCAAGTCGCCCAAGTTTGTTTTCTCCTACAATAGATTAAATAATTCACAAACATTATTGTTAAAATGCCCTAATTACATAATTGTATATTTGGATATTGATTTTAGCTGATAAAAAAAAAAAGTAAAATGGACAGGCAAACACTCACAGTGTAGAGAATAAGTACAGAGGCAAACTGGATCAGACTGTACAAAGCCATGTACTTGAAAAGACTGAATGATGTCACCAGTGAACACCGGCCTTCCCTGTTTAACGAGACATTGGATTTTGTTATATAATAATAATAGTAATAATCATCACCATCGTAATTTTATTATTATTATAATTATAAATAAATATAAATACTAATAAATAACATCATTATACATATTATACATTGATATTATTATAACAACTTGAGTCAAGAATACAATATCCAATTAAAAAGACTACTATTACTATTATTATTAATTATTTATTAAAAGTAATATCATCATTATCATTGTTATTATTAATAATAAAAACAATAAAATATTATTATTATTATTATTATATCAATGCATATAAATGTCTATTATATATTAAAGTTATAATAATAACTTAAGTCAAGAATACAATATCCAATTAAATAAATTATTATTGTTGTTTATTAAAACTAATCATCATCATCATCATCATTATTAATAATAAAAATAATAACAGTAATGATTGTTGTAATAAATTATTCACAATAACAACAATAATAATAATCACAATCATAACAACAGTTTATTAAATGTAATTAACAACAACAAATTATAATAAATAAAAACAAAATACATATATATTGATTAAATTATATATTGATAAAATACAGATATTGATCCTATTATAATACCTTAAAGGGGTCCTATTATGCTCTTTTACAAAGTCTTGATTTTGTTTTGGGGTGTACTAGAACAGGCTCTCATACTAGGTTGTTCGAAAAACACAGTATTTTTCACATATTTTACATTATTACAACACCTCTCTCCCCAGTCTGGCATGAACGGCTCGAATAGTTCCTGTATCAAATGAAGGCCCGCCTTCTGAAATACGAAATGTGCTGTGATTGGTTAGCTGGGCCAGTGTGTGTTGTGATTGGCAGCACTCGGCGCCTGTTAGCTAGCCAATACTAAATATTAATTATATAAACTCAGTTTATTGTCTAAAACTACCTTTGTTCACATAAATTAATAGTGGTCTGCGCTTGTCTAAAATACATTATCCCCACGCTGCAGTGCATCGTGCAGCTTTGCCACACAGATTTTAATAGGTGGTTAGCTATAATAAATCAGGCAGTGTGACAAAGATGTAGGCTAGTAGGTAGTTGTGAGTGCAGGTGCGAAGTAAATTAATATTTATGACAAACTAATATTTCACGGGTAGGTTGCAGAATTTATGCCTACACAAAAGAAAGCTCTGTCTAGGCTCTGCTTCGGTACGGTTCGTGTCAAGCCATTCGTTAATCTGGCTGTTTGATGAAGAGAAAGAGAAACAAATGTAGTAGAAATAAACATGTTAAGAATCCATAGATGACACTTATTATGTTTTTTAAGGACTATTATTATGTTGTAATGTTTGGTTGACCAATCAGTAGAGAGAGGTGTGTCATTCCCGCCCACAAGTAGAGATCGAAAATTCAAGTTGCTTATTCGTTTTCTATCCCTGAACGTAAAAACAATAAATGAAGCCGAATTCTTGATTTTTCGTTTTGTTTGAACAAATGAAAAACGAAAAATGTTTGATGAAAAATGATTTTTCAGATTTCAATATTAAATTAAAAACCGATTTGACGGAAGATACCCTGATTTCCCTGCTCTAATTTTTTTCTTTTTCAATAATCTATTTTACTTGGATATATGTTACAATATGGAAGAAAACATCTGTTGCTACTTTCTTTTCATTGTGCCTTTAATTAAGGGTCATAGAGGCCACAGAGAATAAAGTAGGTAGCATGTATGCATTATCTTGTCAATAAAATAACTTGGGGAAAAGAACATACAAGTTTAGAAATACTCAGTATTTTGTATTTATGCTAGTAACTGAATCAAGCACTTCTCAAGGCAATATACCCTCTATTTTTTATTTTTGTTGAATATAACATTTTTTGGTAAATATATTACATATTCTGGGGAAATATGTTTCCACCCTTTTTCTTAATCAACCAGAACACCCTTTCAAAATACTTAAAGTTTTTTATTCTTCAGTTATGTTTTGTATTAGAAACACTATTACTAACAGTCCATACTTGTTGCTGTATGATATGTTTTGTGCCATATATAATAGGCAGACAAGGACGACACCTGGTACGCATACCTCACTAGTGCACTGAGAGGTGGTATCAGATCTTTGGCAACCCTGGATATGTCCTTGGGGAGAGTTGAAATTCTAAAGCAGGAGGTAGGTGTTAGCTAACACCGATGACGGAGCACTGTGTTGGGAACAAGGGCTGGTTCAGGGGCGGCCATGAGGGTGTTCCTGCAAGATGGGCATCCAGACGTTTGTACTGCTTTTTGGACTCGCGTTTTCCTCTGAGGTTGTGAAGGCAGTTCAGGGCACCTCGGTCAATAAGAATCTGAGAAGAAAAATTATTTTGCAATTACTGATATTGGCAGCATGTTTCAGATGCCATGTGGTAATACGTATATTTATCTTTACCTCAAGCAAGTAGCATATGAAGAAGTTGAGTGCAGCTACAGCCACCAGCAGTAGTTTATAGTTCATATCATTGATGTCACAGAGCTGCAGCAGTTGATGGATGATGGTGTGACGGAAAAGAACCAGCCAGCTCATAAGTGCAAAGAAAACCAGCAGTGCGCCTACAAACAAAACTAAGAGAAACAAAAAACATTAAAAAAGCTAAACATAAATATTAGACACAGCCACAGTGAGTATTTACTTTAATAATCACTATAATGATAAAAAATGGCTATCAGGACTGAGAGATTGAAAATTATTACTTATTCTATACCTCTTTATATAATATTATTATAAAGTGATCAACGTGAAATATAAATATAACAAGGGGAAACACATTTACATCTAAATGGTAATTAGTCAACATAAAATGGAACTCAAACCTCAAAGTGACGCTATAAATCGCTCAAATCATCTGGATTCAGTCAGATTTACTGAATAGAAACTTTTTAAAACAAACTGTTATTTGTTTACTCCATTATGTTATGTTGCTTCATAGGTTTACGGTGAATTTTCAATGCATTGTCTGTAAAACAAGCTCATGTTTGCGGCATTGAACAGGTCTAATTGTGCACAACAAGGTCAAAGTTTAAATTCTCACAATTGTAATACAGTGGTTTTTTGTAAGGATATCCTTTGGTTATCACAATAGACATGATGATATATTGGAATCCCGATAAGGCAAATATGCTTGTGTCCTCCATGTTTGGCAAGTTTGCAGCCCCCGTCACAGTCGAATTTAGAGGCACATACCTGAAAACAGTCACAGAGTTATAAAACAACAGTTGAAGCTGCAAAGATTTTTAATGTCACCTAAAATGTAAGTGTTGTAGTGTTAATTTCGTTAATGAAAACTATGACGAAAATTGTTCGTCAACAAGCTTTTTTCCCCTGACTAAAACGAGGCGATGATGACTGTATCAACATGGAACATTGTTGACGATAAAAGACGACACAAAAATCTCTTTTTATTTTCATAGAAAAAAAGCAGACAAAATATTATTGTGGACTGCTGTACGTGCCTCTACTACGTGAGCTTTCAGGTGTGTGGTTATAATATTTTTTGTTTGTTTTTACCGGTTTTCATAATGTAGAAAGAGAGAGTGCATATCTAAGTCTTTGATATTCATTTATATATTAAATAGCCTATAAATATCTAAGTCTTTGATGTTGATTTATATATTAAATAGCCTATAATAAATCAGTACACTAGATGAGGTAAAATAAACCATGTATACGAGTTCACATTCTGTTGGTTTGTGCTTACTGGTGAAAGTGCAATACCTGAAATGTAAAAATGTATTTCTCAAATGACAAAAATCATTGCGATTATAATTTTGAGCAAAATATTTTTTTTATCAGTTTAACCATTATACAGCATGACGAAGACAGCATGACAGTGAAGTTTTCACTGACTAAAACTAGACTAAAATGCTCAGATATTTATTCGACTAAAACAGGACAAGATTGACTTAATATGATAATAACTAAAAAGTACATTTGACACAGGACTAAGACTAATTTAAAAGACTAAGACTAAATGAAAAATGGCTGACAGAATTAACACTAGTTAGCTGCTTACCAGTCTTGTGACACAGTGATAAGCAGGGCAGACACCTGGGCTAGGATCAGCAGCACAGTGTGCACCAGTAAACTAGACAGGATTGGCAGAGACAGAAGACTGGCAGCGGGTCGCTGGGGATGGAGCTCATCGCTGGGACCTCCCCGTCCCATCACTATAGCCAAAACGGTCACCAAAACTAAATCAAAGAAGAGGAACTGCAAGTCGCCCAAGTTTGTTTTCTCCTACAATAGATTAAATAATTCACAAACATTATTGTTAAAATGCCCTAATTACATAATTGTATATTTGGATATTGATTTTAGCTGATAAAAAAAAAAAGTAAAATGGACAGGCAAACACTCACAGTGTAGAGAATAAGTACAGAGGCAAACTGGATCAGACTGTACAAGGCCATGTACTTGAAAAGACTGAATGATGTCACCAGTGAACACCGGCCTTCCCTGTTTAACGAGACATTGGATTTTGTTATATAATAATAATAGTAATAATCATCACCATCGTAATTTTATTATTATTATAATTATAAATAAATATAAATACTAATAAATAACATCATTATACATATTATACATTGATATTATTATAACAACTTGAGTCAAGAATACAATATCCAATTAAAAAGACTACTATTACTATTATTATTAATTATTTATTAAAAGTAATATCATCATTATCATTGTTATTATTAATAATAAAAACAATAAAATATTATTATTATTATTATTATATCAATGCATATAAATGTCTATTATATATTAAAGTTATAATAATAACTTAAGTCAAGAATACAATATCCAATTAAAAAAAATAGTTATTGTTTAATTGTATTAATGTTATTGTTATTATTATTAATTGTATATAATATAATAATTTAAAGGTATATAATATTATAAAACAGCAATATAAATGGCTTCATTATATATTGATATTATTATAATAACTTAGGTCA